CAATTTGAATAAATACTGTCTTCAATTATATTCATAATTTGACACCAATGTTTGTGTTTCATTTGAATGACTATGATTAAGATAATAATTTTTAAAGTGAATAAATTAGAATGTGATTACTCAATAGTTCAATCACGGATCGAATTTTACGATGTGAAATCACAAAATAGTAAAAATACTAAATTTTTAATGAAGTTTTATTCTGTGAACTGGATGATTTGATTGTGGAGATTTCATCATTATTCTGAACAAAATTATCAGAACAAACTTCAAATAGAAGTGAAGTGTAAAGTTTATGCTGATGATATTGTTGAGAATAACGATGACTAAACCATCCAGCTTAGAGAAGAAAACTCCATCAAAATCATTCACTTAAGCCACTAGTCTTCTTCACCATCTCAAAGATACTAAGTTGCTAATAATTTATTCATATTTCTTCTTTGAGAATAAATAGACTAATAGATACTTAAACACAACTAAAATATACGTCATATTGATGGTAGTCAAAAATTCACTTGATATTGTTTACTTGAATCTTCCCATTGACGTTTAGGACTGCAAATGATCAGTCTCTTATTGGTATGTGTGCAATACGCATTTGGAGAGAACTGTACTGGGTTCGAGCCTAGGAGTGGACATCAACTCTAAGATGCAGATACATCCAACTGACGAGCCCCAACTAGGATGAAGTGACTCACGTTCTGGATTCTCCTGTTTATCACTATCCATCTTTGCTTATAACGTACTCAAAAAATGTTCTATTCAATATTTATAAAAATTATCAATTGTACTCATAATCATTTGTTTGACAGAGAGAAAAATTCACTCAAGTTAATTAATTTTATAGAGAAAAAAGAAGAAAAAGGTCTTCTTAGTAGTAGTAGTAGTAGTAATAGTGGTAGTGTAGTAGTAGTAGTGTAGTGAACAGAACAAAGGTGGGGACAATCGAATGTATCTAACAACAAATTACAGAACTACTTGGTAAAATCTGACACCCATATAGTAAATGCTCAATTTGCAAAATGTCCATCAATTGTCTCAAAAGACTGAGACTTCCTTTGTAAATGCATTTTCATACAAATCGCGTTCTGTCTTCATTCTTTACTATTCGATCTTCTCGTCTTTCTGCTGCCAGACATTCTGTTCAGCACACACGTCATATACTACTTATGTCTACATAAGTATCTTATCTTGTTTTGGATTTACCTATAGTTTAAACAGCAATTATTCTTACTTAAAGTGATTAATAAAATTAAGTATATTAACTCTTTGGAAATTCTAATCTTAAAACAAGAGATGAGATGAGTGTATCATAGTTTGATCATTTACATTTTAAGTGAAGCGGTGAATTGATAATTAAAGAATTTGACTTTCAGTTATTAGATCTTAAGCTTCTATGCAGTATTAACAGTCCTCATTTAAAGTATGGCTTAAACGAAGGACAGTTCTACTGTATGGGACGGAAACTTCGAAAACCGCTAGAGTCATCATCCAGAAGGTACAAATGTTTATTAACAGTTGTCTACGCTAAATACTTCGGATTCGTTGACAAGACACTATCAGTAACAATCTATTGTGGGAGAGAACAAATCAGATCCCAGCGGAGGAAGAAATCAGTAAGAAGCACTGGAAGTGGATAGGACACACATTGAGGGAAGAACCTAACTGTGTCACATGGCAAGCCTTCACATGGAATCCTGAGGGCCAAATGAGACGAGGAAGACCAAAGAACACATTACTTCGAGAAATGGAGACAGATATAAGAATAATGAACAAGAATTGGATAGAAGTAGAAAGGAAGGCCCGAGACAGATTGTGTTGGAGAATTCTGGTCTGCAGCTTATTTCTGATTCATATCTTCACAGTGGCCTTAACTTTTATCTGAGTGACTACTGTAATCTTAAGTTTGTTAATTCTGTTGTATCTTAAGATTATTCATAACGTCTTACAATAGTAGCAGAGCTGTTCTATTTCATTGTTTGACTCCTGTTTTGAATGCAAAAGTAACCTGAATGTACTGTCTTTTCTATCTCATATTAAGGTGTGGATAATTGATTTTGAAGTTTTATTGTATATCACTTGTTGTTTTGTCGAGTTTCCCAGGTGGAACTCTCAGTCGTTCTGTAAGTAAAAGTTGCTGTAGGCACGTATCTAATCTTAATTGACAAAGTATAACAGTGAGTTATATAGATAATAACAATACCGCGAACACCGAGGAAACACATAACAATTCAGCTGTATGTATTACTTTAACATGTTAGGTCCATTCTTCTATCATATCAGTATCAAGCTAGATGAATTGTCATCTAGAGTATTTATTAAAATCTATTCAGTTAAGAAAAAAACACTAGGTTTTCTATGAAAGTTTTAACATTATTCTAGAATAAACGTATTCAACTTTACACTCTAGTCAATCTAATTATTACTTTCAACATATTCTAGAAACAAATTTTACTATAGTTTGGATGGAATTTCAATAATATCATCGAATTATCTAATAAAATCCTATTGAAACGTCCAGTATGCTTAACTTCATGCGCTAGTAGGTGCATATAAATGAACCGGTTTCATTTCATTAGTTACCAAGATTTAAACAGCTTACACTTTTAAACATACATATAATTCTAATCTAGTTCGGTATTATTATTATTACTATCATTATTGATGTAATTGGATGCGTAATGCAGTAGTATAACATGTGAGACAATCATACAAAGGATTATTATTTTTATTCTTACTGCATAATTAAATGACACCTGAACTGTTGCATTTTTATATCTTAATTTTGTTTGATTCACACATCGTTGTCATACGATTTGTTATTCTAGATTTGTCATTAGTTTATTTAATTATTTGAACACATAAATATTGGTAGAAAGGGGCACCGAATACATATGCACCACACAAGTCACTTGATTTGTGTGTGGGTAATGATACTGCTCAAGTGCCCTGACTGAAACAGGCGGTTTTCTTAAGGGGATACACCCTGAGCCTTCGACCTAAACGTCTGATCCACAAGGCAGTGGAGCAACGTTAGGAGTTGCAGTCCCATGGTAGCCGGTGATCAACGATTGATTCAAACGCCATTTGTTCCAGGGTTTTCCAGCTTCCTTATGTGGACCCTCCGTACCTATCATCATCCCGGTTAAAGCGCCGGACACTCGCTTTTCATCCTTCCAATTTCGTTATCAACACTCCCGCCACGAGAAGGCAGTGAGTAGGACTTCCCTAGCAGTGGTTGTATGCATGTGGCCATGAGAGAGCATTTCGAGAGGGATAGCTGACTCTCATCACCCTCTGCCGTACCAGGGCATTTGGGGTCTGACTTTATATCTCGGTTATGTACACTCCGTAATTTTCCAATTATTTTGCTGGGTTGTCAGACATTTCAGGTATATTAGCGTATAAATTTTGAGTCATAATTGAATTAAGTACCACGGTGAATTGATATTCTCTTTATCTTCTGAGTGCCTATTTGGTTAGAAGGTGCTTGAAGACCAATAAGCGTTAAATTCTTTGTTGTTGTTCATTGGTTGATTTATGAATTCGTTAATGAAAGGTCATCGGTTCTACTCGCAAAGTGAATGGACTAGTCGATAATCCAACTAAAAAGAATTAAATTATACAAATGCTTTCCTATCATCACGGTCTAATCACACATGACCCAATACAAGTCAAACATAAAATTGCTTCTTTTTCCCGACAATAGTCGTTGAAATGTATCACTTGGTAGTTTTAGTAACGATTTAAATGTAATTCCTTTGCAAATTTTCTTAATGAATGTATTATTTGTTTTTCATTCTATCAAAACAGATCAACTGTGATAAGTATAAAATGAACTATCCATGCAAAGAATAGTACTGTTTTCCATTGTTGGCTTTCAACAATAGTGAACTTTTCGAAACGTATAGTATATTAATTCTTGTTCTAAATTACCATAACACAAATTTAATGAAATATACTTTATGATTAATGTCCTCACAATCAAAATAGTTCAAACTGTATAATCTGTAACTAGGACTCTAGGTGACATGGGTTGAAAAATCCTTTGACGTTCCTAGTGGGTCTTATTGATAAGTGATAACTAGCGCGGAATGTATATTATCCAAAGACTGTCGTAGATGTCTTTTAATCACCTGACATCAAATATTATTAAATTTATCAATAAATTTCGAGGATAGCTTATTCCATGTAGTGATATAAGCTAAGTAACCTTTGGAAACCAGAAAGAACTGATTAGCTGTTTTATTCTCATAATTAGCTCTTTGGTAGTATTCATTTACGATCATATCAGGACTAAAATACAAGAGCTTCAATTAAGCAAGTTAATTTTAGGCCATTGAGTTACAATCCAATGATCAATATATCAAATTCTAGTGATTTCACAATATAGAGTGACAATTATAAAATATAATTAATAGGAACTTTCTCATTTGATATACTTGAATTCTACTTGTCTGCAACTTCTCAACAGTAACTGACTTCAAGATGAATTCCTGATGTCAAACATTGTTGTATCTGGTAGATCAATGGTATCGAATGTTATCGATTTAATCAAGCTAAATCAGCCACAAAGTACTACTCCTATGAAGTTTTAAACTAAAAAATTTAGTCAGCAATTAAATCAACAATACCAAAAAGGAATGAATCAAGTTAGAATATATATATATATATATATATATATATATATATATATATATACTCAATTATAAATACATTGTATGGTATGAAAAGATCTTCAGAAAACATTACAGAGTTGATAGTGTTACATTCCAATAGTTAAAATCATGAGTCAATTGAAGCTAGACCACCATGGAAAGCCTGGAAGAACTGGACGGCCGTTTCGTCCTAGTATGTTACATTCATCAAGAAGCTAACTTGTGTTATATTCAACTCTCAATTATTACTATTATTATTTAGACTAATATATAAAATAATCATTCAATTCATTTACCTTATGAAAGATTTATATTTAAAAATTAAATTGTATATTATCTTACTCATAAAATTTCGGAGGTGGTACACCCAGAGTACGACTAACATCTTCAATTGTAATTATGCCTTTATCATTTGTATCAAAAAGTCTTAACCATCTCTATATTGGGAAAAGAAATAATAGATAAATAACAAAAATTGGTTAGAGTATAGAACCAAAACTTCACATAAGTAAACAAAAAGTAATATTTATAATTATCGGTAAATAATCCTATTGAATTATTAAGCTTTGTAATATAAGCTGAAATTTGATATGATTCGTAGACCATTAAGTCCATTGATGATGGTTTTACTATACGGTCAATAATACTAATAACTCTCAGTTTAACAAAATAATTTTCAATTAAATTGTTCATAATGACTGACCTATAATAAATTCTCTCTGTTCAAAATGTCTAAATAAAACATGAGGATAGAAAGTTGATTTACCACATCTGTTATTACATTATATTACATTACATGTTGACTCACAAATCATATAATGATGTACATTAATCACATGACCATAACACAACATTGATGATAAAAACATAAGTCAATTGAAGCTAGACCATCATGGAAAACCTGGAAACACTGGATAGCCGTTTCGTTGTAGTATGGGATTCCTCAGCAATGCGCATTTGTGACCTCGTCTCACGAGATTCGAACCCAGGAATTATCAGTCTGGTGCGTGAGCGCTTAACCATCAGACCACTGAGTCGGCCAGCATCCAACATTGTTAATGTCTAACTTCAACTAATCCACAAAATTGAGCGAAACATCCACCAATGTCTTCAGTGAGTCATTATCTCACAACAGACCCGGGTGAACTACACTGATCACTGTTTCTCACTAGAACTCCATGAAATACCTCTTGAAGTCAATCACTATTGAGCATATGTTAATTAATATCAGAAGGGGTTTTGTGGATATTATAGTAATTTTAATAGTTGAGATCATGAGTCAATCGAAGCTACACCACCATGAAAAACTTAGAAGCACTAACATTTTCCTCACAACCATTGAAATTACTATAATATCCACAACACCTTTCTGATAAAACCATAGTTTGTACGTAACTAGACTATTTGTGTTAGGAAACCAAATATCAGATACGTAATCAGTTAATTGTAACCTATGAACATTAAGGAATACATCACCATTTCATAACTTACAATCAGGGCTATATATATATATATATATATATATATATATATATATATATATATATATATCCTAATCCACTTAGGGTACTTCCAAAAATTCCACAGTTTCACTTCTACATCCCTATCTGGCATCTTCAATTAAGCAATGTGATCTAGATTTTCTAATCGCATGTTTCAGTCAAAGGAATGTGATATAATCATTTTGATTTGACAGAAGATATTGGATTTCTTATCGATTGTTATTAAGTTATTAATCAATGAAAACATTCAATAGTTTTTAGTTTGCTTGAAAAATAGTTTTTTATAATTGTACGAGATACTTTTTATTAAATTTAGTGCCAACTACTTTGTCATATCTCAAGACTTCTCAATAATAATGTTCACTGTCAACCACATACGAAGGAGTTAGAGGATATTTATATTTAGCAGTTAGCAGACTGATATGTAGTGATTAGGTCGATATGTAACTTCCTCTAATTTAGCACGAACAATATCGTTCTTCTGAGAGAAAATAATCTGGGATATTTTAGCATTGCAATTATGTATTTGATGGTTCTCATTTTACGTGCAAATCGATGATTTAGAAACAATTTCAGCCTTCAACTTGTACTTTTATTTTTACTTCATATAAAGACAAATTAACACATAATATCAACTATTAATAACTCAAGATTACACGATCGTTCATTCATTTATCTTCATATTGTGAACTTTTCACATGATTCGCATATATCATGAATGAATCAATGTTAAACCCCCAGTGAAAACCTGGAAGCATTGGGCGTCCGTTTCATCCTAATATGGGACTTCTCAGCAGTGTCCATCCACGATTCCACACTCAGGACTAAAACCCAGGTCCTTCTGTCTTGCACGCGAACAATTAACCTCGAGAACACTTAGCCGGCATCTAACGGTAGTCTAACAATCGTCCGTTTATGATATCAATTTAAACTCAACAATCTCCACAACCCTATACTAATTCGCATACAACTGACTCATTTTATCCTACTTAATAAAGTCAACATCTAAATATGATTGGATAAGCACAGTAAAGATTTATTTGATTATTAAACACTATATATTTCTTGGATGATTTTGATTATTACCCTGAAGAAGTCCAGACAAATTTGCTGGACGAAACGTTGGAATTATTGAAGTTTCTATATACTCGGTGCCCTATTTCTTACCAAATATTCGTTCAATTATCGGCGCATATTCGTATAAACGATTATTTAGTGTTTTCTAACAAATACCGATCGATGATAAAAAATAATCTTTACAGCGATTAATTAACTAGAAAGAACCAAATCATTTAACTAATACATTTGATTGTTCTACTTAACATTATTTGAATCATGAAAATATGATGTGAGGTTAAATAATGAAATAAGTTTTACATCTCCTTGTCAATTGAATTTTATCAGTCAAATAGACCAATGATCAGTAGCTTGTAGATGAAAATTCATGCTCTCATGCACCAGATCAATTGAGAATTCTCACTTTAATTCTGTTTTTCATAGTTGCATGGTACGACATTAGACTTTCTACTTAAAGGACACTGGATAGTTGAGTACATGAAGCTGAATTTGGTCAATTAGTTAGATAATGTATAAAACTGATTTATCTTATATTAACGCTAAATAAGACAGATTTGATTTCCCATGAAATTATTAGTTTGATAGAAGCTAAATTTATGATTGAATGTGAAACGAGTTCCGAATTTATATAAGGTTTGAATCAATCAATTCTAGTGAAATCTGACGATCTAAGCAAGTTTTACATTTTCCAATTTGAGTATGTGAAGATTATTGGAAATCATAGTTCGCATCATCGACTGACTTTAGTTGGAAATTCTTTAAAAATCAGGAAATATTGGACATTTGTCCAATCTTTGTATATGAATTCATAGCAGTAGATATCCAAGATTTCACCAAGAATCAAATTCAAAACATTTAGGTTTCACGACCAGTGCTTAATTTTCAGACCAGGTGTCTAATGGTTCCTGGTTCTCACCACGAGCCTAATTAAGGTTAGTACATGTTACAAACTACGAAATAAATAATGTACCATGAAATCTGCCAGAAATTTTCATCTAAATAATCCATTTTCACTGACTTTTTAAATCAACCGACAATAACTGAATGCAAATAAATAGAGGGATTTTACTTTGATTAATACAAAACTATTGTAGTTTACTTGACGGAACAGTCTTAGTTAAACCACCATTAAAAACAAAGAAATACTAGTCAAATATTTCGTCTTCACTACGGGGAATCGAATTCAAGGTCTTTGTTTTCAAGCATGAAAGCCTAACCTCCAGACCAATAAGTCGGAACCCAGTTACATACCAAACTAACGTCAATAAATTTATCACATTGCTCTACAATGTTCCAAATAATGTTTCCTGATTCTCTGTAGTGGTTTAACTAATACCGGTTCGTGGTGAAAACTTTGAAAATTTAACAACCTTCAAAAAAAAAACATATTCTGATAATTATGCTCTACTCACTAGTGACACATTTCTAAATGTAATTCCTGAAGTTCTAGTGAGAAATAGTGACCAGTAGCTCTATGTTACTCAATGAAATCAATAGAATATGACCCCGTAATGTTAAAGAATAATTGAACTCAAAGGTCTAGAGGCAAAGTAATTAGACATGAAACTAAAAGTCACTAATTCTATCCTTTTTAATGGGCACAAAACAGCTATATATCGTGCTCTATGGCTGATAATGGTGATTAAATTAAGATCGGTTTAAAATACAAACCATACAAATTTAACAATCTTCACAAAACCTCTATGTAAGTTTCTTTTTTGTTTTTGTACTTAAGATTGATTGATAAATCAATCATTTAAACAAAACCATATCATTATTTGTTTAACTTCATAAAATAATTGTGTTCTGTATTAGTGAACTCTGTCGCTCTGTTTGTTTATTTGTTTGCTTGGTTGTTTGTCTATTTGTTTGTTTGTTTGTTTGTTTTTCTAAAGCAACATCTACCAACAACCAAGCATGTTATTTATTAAATTAATTAATTAATTATATCATAATATAATAATAGATGATAGAGGTCAAATACCTTAAATTAAAATAGTAAACAATAATAATAATAATAATAATAATGATAATGATAATGATAATAATGATAATAATAAAAATAGAAAATAAATAATGAAGTATTGATTTTTTTAAATACAACATAACAAATACCATCGTTCACCTTGGTGCTTTAAATGATTATGGTGAAAACAAAAGAAAACATAATAAAACATAGAAATCAACCAATCAATCAATTAATCAATTATCATGAAGGAAAATATGATCTTTAATTGAAATAAATTAGATGAATCAATGAATGATGTAAGGCTTTATCAGTATTGTGAATTGGTTTTATTAGTTCAATCTCGATTTAATAAAGAAGTATGCGAATTGTATATAGAAATATATGTGTATGTGTGTTGGGGTAGGGAGGGAAATGTTTACAAAGTGAAACTTTAGTCAGTAATTTATTGAAAAAAAAAAAACAAACACACAATTGTAATACATTTCAGGCAATACGCTATTAATGATGGAGTTTTGTTCTTTGAGCTGGAACAAAACTTCATCAAAATCATCCACCTGAGCTAAAAATCTTCTCCACCATCTTAATACGCTATTAACTTCTTGTTTCAACTATCAGTTTGTTTTTAATGCTATGCTTGTATTATTAATAACTACTATTGGTTGATTTCAGGATCAATGTAATTGGATTTTATATGGTTATTGTGTCGTTGGATCACATATTCTTTGGTCTTTTGTCTATAAGATTCTCTCCCAAACAATCTGTATTTTATACTACTATAACACAAAATGTACCTTCAGACTAGTTGAAAACCTACTAAAGGCTAAACGTTGATTTTGAATAAGATACTCCTCAAATGTAGAAAATGATAATTGAATAAATGAGAGATAAG